TTTCGCAGGCGCAAACTCATAATGCCTCTATTCAGCAACAGCAGCAGCATCTGCATCAACAACAGCAACAACAGCAGCAACATCCAAGCGGGATGTTGGCCTCCACCAGTCCTAGTACAGGAAATGGTACAATACCAACTCCACCCATGTCTTCGTCTATGAGTTTGCAGACACCATCTTCGATCTCTTCATCCTATTCAATGGGTCCTCCTTCCGTGGCTCCCGCAGGTTTCATAATGCGCAATGGCCAGTCATCTACTTGCATGATGCAGCAGCATCATCACCAACAACAGCAACAACTACAGACATCTGATTCTGTGATGGAGGCTCAGTCTCATTCTGGTGTCCCAGTTCCAATACAACGACTTCAGACACTTTCCGGCCAGGGCATATCAATGCCGATCCATTCGGTTATGCAACAACCACAGGCGCAGTCACAGCAGCATCAGCAACAATACGTGATGTCTCAGACACCCGTACAACGTCAAATGGTTGTCGGTAATGATTGCCAGCAGCCAGTTGGACCCCCCATGCAACCAGTTGCCAATTCTATGCTCGCTACTACATCCACCATTGTAGGCTCTTCCATAACCACAACCACTGCCGTGCCAGGCCTTGCTTCCCCAGCCAATCCGAACTTGAACAATTCCTCCGTCCCTGCTGGCATTCAGACGACTGTGAGCAATGCCAACAATGTGCAGTATAATCACTCTGTCATGGCGTTGGGCAATGTTCATTCACAGCCTCAACAACCCACCTGGCGTCAGCAGCAGCCTGCTCACGGGGCTTCTATGTCTATGATGCCTGGACAGACTCCGGCAAATACTGTCTCAATGGAAGACGTAAGAATGGTGCAGCAGATGTATGCAAGCTCCCAGCAGAGAAATGCTCCTTCTGAGGTAAGCTATTAACAAAAAAATGATTTCATTAATTTATTTAGAGGTTTTTTTACGTTAATAGAGCTTGATTTGAACTAAAATCCTTGCCTAATAAGGGAATCAATGTTTTTTACAAGATATTTTGCGAGCTTGCTTCCAAAATTCCCTGTACTAGTTTTGAGGTTGAGCAAGTGATGATAATATAGACCACTTGTAACTGTTGTCATACTCAAGTTTCGACCAACTTGAATTATTGTAGAAAAACAGGTTTTCTTACGAGTATCGCATGCATACAACACATGCAATAGAACTCAAACACATACAGCAACATTGAACGATTAAATAATATGAGTGATTTAGAGTAGGATACAGTTGTTCAGTCGCAATTGCATTTATTTCACGCTTTATCTGAAGCCACTCTACCTGTTATATGCAGTCACTTCACTTTTTAACAAGCGTTGAAATGCATGGGATATCCAACATAATCATGAGATTCATCATTAAGTGAACAAATGTGGATTATAAGTAGTAGGTAGGATTAAAGCCGACCATCTTGTCTTTGTGCTTGGTGAGTTATCGTAAAAAAGGTATGAAGACCAAGATGATGTGGCCTTTTTTGTGTTCACAGTCTCTTTTCGTTGTATAGAAGTTGTTTGACCTTGTTTTCGCAACTTGGTCATATTGGCAGGAAGACTTAGAGGAACGCACCTAGTCCGGAGTTTATTGTATGCATCATCATTTACAGAGTAGGACGTGGACGTGGTACATTCCCAGACGTTTCGCCGGCATCGTAGTCGGCATCGTCAGTGAGTCTTGCCATTCTTAGCACCATATTACAACTCGTCAAAGAGACAAGTGAAGCCCATCCTATAACTAAACTTGTGCTAAACAGTTGTGGTATCTCCCCTTCTTGCCCTGGGCTATTCACATTTCCTATATCGTCCTATCATGCCTTCCCTGTCAAAATTTTTACCGTGCTTACTTTTAATGTAGTCTGGTGTGCTGCTTCGAGCGGCACTGTTGTTATCACCCCCTTCACCCTTGTGCTGAGAATGTTGAATAG